TATTCATAATAGCTTAAAAATATTTGTAGGATCTGTAATGATATCCCCTTTTCATATGATGTTGGTATATGTGTTTTTTCCTCTTTTGTTTAGTTTGATCAGTCTTATTTTATTAAATTAATCTTGTTGATCTCCATTTCTGTTGCATTGGTTTGTGCCCTCATCTTTATTATTTGCCACCGTTTCTTTTTCTTTTCATTTGGTTTGCTGTTCTTTTTCTTGATTCTTAAGATGGATGTTAGATTATAATGTTTCAAACTTTTTTCCAGTGTATGTTTTCAAGACATAAATTTCCTCTAAGCAACTTTTTGATATGTCATATTTTCATTCTCGGTTAGTTCACATTTTCTAGTTTTCATTTTTTTTTCTGCTTTGAGTTATAATTTATTAAGAAATTAATTGCTTAATTTACAAATGTTTGGAAATTTTCTAAATAGTCTCTCATTATTGATACATTTAATTCCTTTATAGTCAAAGAGCATCTGCATTATTTTAATAGTTTGAAGTTTATTGAGATCTAATTTATAAACCGGTATATGGTCTGTTTGGTAAATGACCTATGTAAGCTTAAAAAAATATACATAGTTCTGTGATTATTAGGTATATAAGTCATATAGTTCAGGATGGCTAATGATGCTGTTCACATCTTCTGTATCTTTACTGCTATTTTGTCTGAAATTTTAAAAAATGGAAAAAAAATTAATAGAAAAATATAATGTACCAAATGTGTCTCAAGGAGAAATACAAAGCTTTGCTACTACTAACGATAACTGTAGTATTATAATTAGTAAACACTAAGCTAGCAGTTAAAAATCATCTTATAAAGAAAACACAAGGCCTAGGCAGTTCACAGGAGCATTCTATCAAAATTTCAAAGAATTCCATATTCCAATCTTTTACTACACACTCTTCCTGAAGAAAGAATTTGCTAATTCATTCAAACCCACCAGCCACTCCTCAGAGGAAAGGTTGGGCAATCTACTTCCGTAGTGATACTGCCTTGGAAACCCAAGGAGGGGTCTCTGTGAGTCGGGTCTAACTTGATGGCAAATAACAACAACAACAACAGTGTAACTTCGATAATAAAACCAGCCAAGGACAAAATCAGAAAGGAAAATAGTAGACTCAACTCATCTACAAATAGAGATACACAAATCCTAAACAAAATTTAAGCAAACTATATCTAACATATAAATAAGTAAGATATTACAAAATGAAAATAATAGGTTCATATTAAAATGCAAAAATATATTACTCTACATTAACAGATTAGAGGAGAAAAACCGTATGATTATCTCAATAGATGCAGGAAAGACATTTGATAAAATTCATTACCCACTTCAGATTTTAAAAATCTTAGAAATAAAAAGAGAACTTCCTTAACCCGATAAGATAAAGTGTATCTGCCAAATTAAAGAAAAAAGAAGTGGACAAATGTGACCCTAAATTGGAAACACTCTTTAAAATCAGGAAGTTGTGCCCACTCAGAACAGAAGTATGTCCCATACAAGTGTATTTTCAAGCTTCTGCTAATGTCTTCTAATAGTGTATTAGCCAAAGCAAGTCACATGGCTGAATGAAGTGGGAGGATATTAAAAGGCAGTAAATGCAAGGAGTGACACACCAAGACTGTTTTGTAATCTATCACAAATGTCAGGTTCCACTTCTAAAATTCTTTTTCATTAAGGATAAATTCTAAAAGTTGACCTCTGTCAAAAATAGTATCTTTACCAATTAATTAGAAAATTCTGGAAAGACATATACATATTTATAGAAAGTAGTCAAACACCTTTTTTGAACAACACAAATGGCAGCTGTATACGTGGACTTCACCAGATGGAACACATAGGAATCAGATTGACAACATCTGTGGCAAAAGGTGATGGAAAAGCTCAGTATCTTCAGCCAAAACCAGGCCAGGAGCTGATTGTGGAACAGACCATCAACTGCTCAAATGCAAGTTCAACTTGAAGTTAAAGACAATTAAAACAAGTCCATGAGATCCAAAATATGATTGAGAATATAGCCCTCCCGAATTTAGAGACCATCTAAAGAGTAGATTTGATGCATTGAACACCAGTGACTGGAAACCAGATGAATTGTGGGATGACATCAAGAGCATCATCCATGAAGAAAGCAAGAGGTCACTAAAAAGACAACAAAGAAAAGAAGACCAAAATGGATGACAGAAGAGACTCTGAAACTTGCCCTTGAGTGGAGAGTAGCTAAAGCAAATGGAAGAAATGACAAGATAAAAGAATTGAACCAAAGATTTCAAAGAGCAGCTCGAGAAGGCAAAGCCAATTACTATAATGAAATGTACAAAGACCTGGAGTTAGAAAAACGAAAGGGAAGGACACATTCAGCATGTCTCAAGCTGAAAGAACTGAGGAAAAAATTTGAGCCTCGAGTTGCAATATTGAAAGATTCTAAGGGCAAAACATTGAATGATGCAGGGAACATTAAAAGAAGATGGCAGAAATACACAGAGTCACTATACCAAAAAGAACTGGTTGATCTTCATCCATTTCAGGAGGGGGCATATGATCTAGAACCAATGGTACTGAAGGAAGTCGAAGCTGCAATGAAGGAACTGGCGAAGAACAAGGCTCCGGGAATTGACGGAATACCCATTGAGATATTTCAACAAATGGATGCCGCACTGGAGGCACTCACTTGGCTATGCCAAGAGATTTGGAAGACAGCTACCTGGCCAACTGACTGGAAGAGATCCATATTTGTACCCATTCCAAAGAAAGGTGATCCCACAGAATGTGGAAATTATAGAACAGTATCATTAATATCACACGCAAGTAAGATCTTACTGAAAATAATTCAAAAACGTTTGCAGCAGCATGTTGACAGAGAACTTCCAGAGGTGCAAGCTGGATTCAGAAGAGGATGTGGAACAAGGGATATCATAGCTGTCAGATGGATCTTGGCTGAAGGCAAAGAATACCAGAAAGATGTTTACTTGTGTTTTATTGACTATGCAAAGGCATTTGATTGTGTGGATCATGACAAATTATGGATAACATTGAGAAGAATGGGAATTCCTGAGCACTTGATTGTACTCATGAGGAACCTGTACCTTGACCAGGAGGCTGTCATTTGAATGGAACAAGGGGACACTGCATGGTTTAAAATCAGGAAGGGAGTGTGTCAGGGTTGTATCCTTTCCCCATACTTATTCAATCTATATACTGAGCAAATAATCTGAGAAGCTGGACTATATGAAGAAAAATGTGGCATCAGGATTGGAAGAAGAATCATTAACAACCTGAGATACGCTGATGATACAACTTTGCTTGCTGAAAGTGAGGATGACTTGAGGCACTTACTGATGAAGACTGAGGAATACAGTCTGCAGTATGGATTACATCTCAATATAAAGAAGACAAAAAATTCTCACAACTGGGCCAATAAGCAGCATTATGATAAATGGAGAAAAGATTGAGGTTGTCAAAGAATTCACGTTGCTTGGTTCTACAGTCGAGGCTAGGACAGTAGCAGTCAGGACGTTAGATGACTTGTACCACTGGGCAGGTTGGCTGTGAAGGAACTCTTTCAAGTGCTGAGGAGCAAGGATGTCTCCTTGAGGACTAAGGTGCGCCTGACACAGGCCATGATATTTCCAATTGCCTCGTATGCATGTGAGAGCTGCACAATAAATAAGGAAGACCGAAGAAGAGTGGATGCTTTTGAGTTGTGGTGCTGGCAAAGAATGCTGAAGGTACCATGGACTGCCAAAAGAACTAACAGATCTGTCCTGGAGGAAGTGCAGCTGAGTTGCTCCTTGGAAGCGAGGATGGCCAGACTTCGTCTCACCTACTTTGGTCATGTTATCAGAGGGGACCATTCCCTGGAGAAGGATGTCATGCTTGGTAAGGTGGAGGGTCGACGAAGGAGGGGAAGGCCTTCGATGAGATGGATTGACACAGTGGCTGCGACAATGGGCTCAAGTATAGCAAGGATTATGGAGCTGGCGCAGGATCAGGTGGTATTTCATTCTGCTGTGCATGGGGTCGCTATGAGTTGGAAGCAACTCGATGGTACCTAACAACAACAACAGGCAGAAACTTCTTCTAGGAATACTAGTGCAGTCTGTAATCCCAAGGTAGTGATCATGATGATGATAATGATGATGATGATATCTAACTTTTATGAGCTTCTATGTGCCAAGCACTGTTCTCAGCATTTTGTATATAGTAACTCACTTAATTCTTAGAACACAATAAGATAGGTACTATTAGTAGTCTCCATTTTATAGATGAACAAACTGAGGCATAGAGCTTTATTAATTTCCCAGGGTCACACAGCTTTTAAGTAAGATGCCCACACAAAGTAAACTTCAAAAGTTTCTTATTTTTCATTGAATTATGACTAGACTTCTTTGACAAGGATTCAAAGGTTCTCTGTAATCTGGTCCCATCCAATTTAATTATCTATAACTTCCATTGCTACAAGGTCTAGTTTTAGATATTTAAAGTCTAGGTATTTGTGGTGGGGATTCATGCATTGGAGGAAACCAAACTAGATGACTTTAGAGGTCTATTCCAATCTCAAGAATCTTTGTTTCTGAGCTACTCTATATATTTCCTCCTATATATGTTCAGCTTTAAGATGTACTGTCAGGATCAATCATGTCAATAAATAAGCTTAATTCTAGGGGATGAAGAAATTATGAACTAAAGACATTTTTTCCGCTCCAAAAATGGAGTCCTTTGTTTTGATTTTCTTTCTCACTCTTCAGCAAACAAGTACCTCTACACTGACTTAGAACTTTCTTGAAAGGAAAATTCTATGTGAATTTTGGTCAGGAAGACCAAATGTAAGTCTTTATGGGATATGATGTGAATTACATTAACATATGCCATTAAAGTGAGGATTTCTAATTTCACTCTGTTCCTGTGTCAGGTGTTTGAGAGTTGAAAGGTATGTGTACACTTCTGTACATTATGGGATGATCATCTGTACCCAATTGCTACTTTGTTCAACAGGTGGGTTTTCAGAAAAGTCATATGAATGGAGCTCAGAAGAGGAAGAGCCAGTGAAAAAGGCAGGACCAGTCCAAGTCCTCATTGTCAAAGATGACCATTCCTTTGAGTTAGATGAAACCGCACTAAATCGAATCCTTCTCTCAGAGGCTGTCAGAGACAAGGAGGTTGTTGCTGTATCTGTTGCTGGAGCTTTTAGAAAAGGAAAATCGTTTCTGATGGACTTCATGTTGAGATACATGTACAACCAGGTATGTAAGAGGCATTTTTAAAAGGTTTCTTGTTTCTGTGCTTCTGTCAGTTTGTTTTTATTTAATAGTGTTCAATATTTCCATTTCCATTATAATGGAATATAATAATAGACATCAGTTTAAAAATGCTACAGTCTATCCATTCTAACCTCAGTGTTTTAGACACAAAACTGCCAGACAACTTTTCCTTTATTCTTTTCAAAATAGAGCTATCATAGTGATGTGATATATAAACTTTACCTGTTACAGTGTTTAAAACATTGAATAATTTTTGTCATAACTTTTTTATTGTAATAATTTTTTTGACATTTTATTATGAAAATTTTAAGCATACAGCAAAGGTAAAAGAATTTTCAGTGAACACTTGGGTGTTCACAACCTAGACTGTACCATTAATAATCTTGCTTTATCACATATGTATCACTATATATTCATACCTCTATCCATCCATCAATCTATGTTCTTTTATATATTTCAAAGTCAATTGAAGACATCAGTACACTTCTCACTAACTATTTCAACATATATATCATTAGTATATACATGTCATATTTGTCAGTATATTTTTAGTTTTTTTCCTTTTAGGTAAACTTTACAAAAGATGAAATGCAAGTATTTTAAGTGTTTATTTGTATATTTCTGACCAATGCAAATACTTGTGTAGCCCAAACCCCTATAAGATACGGAACATTACCATTACCCCTAAAAGTTCCCTTTTAACCTTTTCCAGTCAGTCCTTTCCCTTGCCTCACCTCCAGGGGCAACTGACAGTGTCATAATGTCTGAAACAGCAGTGTGACACAGAAATGAGACTGTATGTGACCTAGAATGAACCAAAAGCAGACAAATAAATAGGAGATAAGAATCGGGGAACAGAAGGTTGGGAATGGAGAACATGCTGATATTCTTCCTTTTTATCCATTGAACTCTGAGGCAAATATGGATTTTGAGACAGAATAGATGTGTTACCCAAAGAAACTTTGTATTACATATTTTATACCATAACTACCCATCTTGGATTGATCTTTTATGGTTTAAGTATTTTTGAGTGATTTTACAAGGTTACCTTTAACATCCTCTATCTCTAGTTTCAGTTCAAACATATCAAGAACAGAAGAGCAAATACAACTCATCATTTCCTGTTTCTAGCATAAAAACGTTAGTATGCTACTTAAGAGATGTGGGAAAATTAACAAGCAAAAATTCATATACCTTCCATTCTTTGTGATTACACAGTTTTGTTGTTGTTGTTATGTGCCTTGGAGTCTGACCCGACTCACAGCAACCCCTCCTTGGGTTTGCGAGGCAGTATCATTACGGAAGAAGATTGCCCAACCTTCTTTCCGAGGAGTGGCTAGTGGGTTTGAACCCTCAGGCTTCTGGTTAGCAGTCAGATGCCTTAGGCACTATGCTACCACAGCTCCTTATACAGTTTAGGCATGTTCATATTTTTAACTGTAATATAAACATTAGGATGAAATACTCAGTAACACATGTGATATTGTCTGTGGTAAATAACATTTGCTTAGATTCCAATGTACCATATTTGTTTTTGTTTTTTGTTTTCATACACCTAGTGGAACATTCAGAAAATAGGAGAGAACCTGAACATTTGTTTTGCTGTTCCTTGCACAATGGCATGTATCATTGACTTTGTTTATACCAAATACTGCTTTCATTTCCACAAATGTTAATTATCACTCATATTAGAATGGGGAAATGAGATTTAAAATGTGACAGTCTATGTTATTTGTAGTAGGAAAACTGCTATAATGTTTATCCTGTACCTATCATACTACCTGGAACATAGAAAACAATAATTTGATTAATGAAAGCATGCCTAAATGAATGAAGCAAACTAAATTCTAGATCTTCCAAAGTAACTATAAGAACCTTCATTGTGCATTGGTTTAAGCTCTCAACTGCTAACTGAAATGTCAACAGTTTGAACCTACTAGCCTCTCTGTGGAAGGAAAATCTGGCAGTCTGCTTCTGTAAAGATTTACCGCCTTGGAAATCCTATGGAGCAGTTCTACTCTGTCCTACAGAGTCACTATGAGTTGGAATTGACAATGGATCTGGTTTTAAAGGAACCATTTGTGGATGTTTCCTTGTCTTTCATATCATTTTTCAGGCTTAGTTTTTATAAATACCTGAGGTTGATCATTGACCTGAGTTGATGTTACAATAATGTTATCATTATGCTAATTCCTGGGAGCTCTGGTAGCATAGTGCCTAAGGCACTTGACTGTTAACCAGAAGGTTGGAGGTTCAAACCCACCAGCCACTCCTTGGAAGGAAGATGGGGCAATCTACTTCCGTAGTGATATTGCCTTGGAAACCCTGAGTCGGCCAACTCGACTGCACGTAACAACAACATGCTAATTCCTTAATCATTGCTATTTATTCATTGAAGTAAGTGCCCTGACTCTTTTTAGGCAAAACTTTGTTGTTGTTGTTGTTGTTGTTATGTGCCGTCGAGTCAAACTCGACTCATAGCGACCCCTCCTTAGGTTTCCGAGGCAGTATCACTACGGAAGTAGGATTGCCCAACCTTCCTTCCGAGGAGTGGCTGGTGGGTTTGAACCGCCAGCCGTCTGGTTAGCAGGCAAGTGTCTTAGCCACTATGCTACCAGAGCTCCCAGTTAGTAAATTCTAAAATATTTTAGTGTTTTGTTATTAAAAGTACTCCAAACACATCTAGAGTTTTTAAAGAAGTTATAAAATCAAGAATAAACATATATGTATGTATATAATTATTCTTTGCATGAATGTTTCTTACCAATTCTGGGGGCACTAATGGATTGTAAATTAAATGAGAAAGGCATCCAGAAATTAATGGAAGAAGTTATAAAGTACCACTCTTAGATGATTCAAGTATCAACTTGGTATGCATGTAAGTTCACCGGTGTCCTTAGCTATGGTTTCAAATTCAAAGTGCTATAGCACTTAGGTATTAATCTTTAGAAACTTATAAAATCAAACACTTATAGAAAAATCCATGTTTTCTGTGTATCTTTATTAGCTTAATTTATTATTATATTACATCAGTTAGTATTTATTGACAGCCTGCTACATGTCCTGCGTTGTGCTGGACACTATGGCAGATGCCAAAGGAGACAGATTCTGTAGTTAGGTATCTTGTGGTTTGGCCAAGGAGACAGAACTAAGGTACATGAAATATTTAGATCACCATTAAGTGCTAATCCATATGTTTCTGAATATACGTAATATTCTGAGGAGTGGCTAGTGGGTTGAACTGCTAGCCTTTTGGTTAGCAGTCAAATGCCTTAGGCACTACGTCACCAGAGCTCTTATTAGAAGTTCAGGGAAGGTTATTAAGAAGTGTAACCAATGTCACCAAACAATAGGTGTGTGTGTGTGTGTGTGTGTGTAAAACTCACTGCCATTGAGGCGATTCTGACTCATAGCAACCCCTATTGGTTTTCCGAGGCAGCAAATCTTTATGGAAGTAGATAACCTGGTCTTCCTTCCACGGAGTGGCTGGTGGGTTTGAACCACCAGCCTTCTGGTTAGCAGTCAAATGCCTTAGGCACTATGCCATTAGAACTCCTTGCAATGATAAGTATACATATATAATTTCTATATATGTATAGAAATTGTTAAATGGGAACCTAATTTATTGGGTGAACTTTCACCAAAATCTAGTAAAATATTTTTTTTAGAAAAGAAAAAGAAGTTCAGGGTAGGAACATATGTGTATAAACAGGAATTATTGGTGAAAGTTTCATGGAGACATTAGGACTCAGGATGGACTTAGAAGATGTGCAAGATTTGGATCAGAAAAAGGAGAAAGAAGGGACATTTTAGACTAAGAGGAACATGAGAAAAGGTGTGGCAGCTGGAATGAGTATGATATATGCATTAAGCAGACAGTACATCTTATTCCCTAGAGTAGAAGTTATTTATGTACTGGGGATGAGGAAGAAATAAGATTGACTAGGTGGATAGCAGATAATGGAGCCAATTTATGAAATAAACAAAACTGAGCTTTCTATAAGTGTCTAAAGTACTTTATAGAATAAGACAGGATATAACTAAATAAAATTTCTTTTATATTAGTCCATATAGAGTTATTATTAATCCAAGTAGTCTATTCCCAAATTCCTCTGAATTAGTAAAGTGTTATATTTTGATTCATATGGAGTTTTAGATTTGAAGATTACCTAATGTGATCTTCCTAAAGTTAATAACTTATTCCTTCTACCAAATATCAAAATAAGTGAAACTACTATTAACCAAGGTCACCATGACCTAGTTACTAAATTTAGGATTATTTCCAGTCCTTATCTTGATTTTTTTTTCCCTAGCTTTCATACAGCTGGCAGTTAAAGTCTATTCTTTCTTCCTTTGGCTTTGCAAATACCACTTGTATCACTATCCCTCCCTCTATCCTGCCCTGATTCAGGTCTTCAGTCATGTTTTTGTTTTGTAACAGCTCCCTTTTTGCTCTTTCTGGCTTTTATCTTCCTTCCCTGCTATCTGTCCTTCATTACATCCAGAATAATCTTTGTAATCTCAACTATGATGATTCTCTCTGCTTCTTCAAAACTCCCTGTTGGTTGCAGGATAAATGCTAATTTATAGAGACTTTGTAATATGACTGTGTCCCCAGCCTCTCCTCCTACTTCTTGCCCCCCCCCCCACCATCTTGATGCATGCACTCTCATACCTTTCTTTCTTTCTGAAATGCCTTTCTCTAGTTTGCTTGCCTGAGAAATTCCTAAACATCCATCAAGTCTTAGTTCAAACACCACCTCTCCTATGAAGTCCTACCTGACCAAGAGTTAGGTATTCTTTTTCCTGTGTTTCTGTTTATGCCTAATATGCATTCTTATTTTGGTATGCGTACATTGGCTTATTAACATGTCTGTTTCTCTGTTAGGCTGTGAGCTTCCTCTGGTCTGGAATGATATCATTTCATCTTTTATCTCCAGGACCTAGTACAAAATGTGGCAGATGGTTGCTCCTGTGTAATTAGTTTTTGGATGAATAAACAAAATGTTTGTGTCAATGCAAGAGGTGTGCATATGTTGTTTCCTTTTGACTAGAGTGGAAGTAGGATGAGAATTGGAATGGATGAATGGAAAAACTGTATGCATATATCCAATTCACATCATACTTTATTAATTCATAGGAATCACTTGATTGGGTTGGAGATTACAATGAACCATTGACTGGTTTTTCATGGAGAGGTGGTTCTGAACGAGAGACTACGGGCATCCAGATATGGAGTGAAGTCTTCCTTATCAATAAACCTGATGGTAAAAAGGTATGATGCTCACTTATTAAATAAAATCAAATTTTCACTTGCAAAGGTTACCATTTTTGAAGATTCTTGAAAATGCTCCTTTGGAAACAAATTCTGGCCATTTGACATGAAGCTTAAAGGTGAGGAAGCATCCTGTTGCATGTTCCCTTTCTAGTGATCAGGCTAGGTGAAATTGTAAGGAGAGCAGAACATCAGATCAGCAAGCTAACATTTATACTTTGTTTCAATTGCTATATTAAGTTTCTATTATGTTGGATTGCTAGTGAAAGTTAATTATTACAATAATCAGCAACTGCTTAATAATTTGATTTTCAGTGCCACTCATGGCAAATACATAAGAAATTACCTATTAAATAATCAATGATAATAGTTTTAGTTCTTATGGTTCTATAAAATATCATACATGTTTTATGAAATATCAATAATATATTCTACTTGTCTGTAGGTTGCAGTGTTATTGATGGATACTCAGGGAACTTTTGATAGTCAGTCAACTTTGAGAGATTCAGCCACAGTATTTGCCCTTAGCACAATGATCAGCTCAATACAGGTATGGAATAAAATAAATCCATTTTGATGAATGTTTCCTTAACTAAAAATTATGAATACATGTGGTAGTGGGACAAACAACAAACATGGTAAATAATATATATTATTGACTCAGCATACTCATTCTTACAATTTCTCAGAGTAAAATTGTTTCTGTTTTTATAGTCTAATTATTGATTGGTTTTCAAATTGCCTGCTTTTGTCAAAAAAAGGTTGTATTGTCTTATCAGTGATTTTTTTTCTGTTTAATACCTATAATAAACTTAATATTAAATCTTATTTCCCTGAGTATGTAGCTATATTAGGATTACATAAATTATGCTTAATGAAACAAGATTTATAAATGCAAAATTTTGCTTTTCATAGTAAGTAGAGAATTTCTAAGTGCAAAAAAACTTATGTATATTCACACTTTAGTATATGTTTAGGAAAAGAATATCTTTATATAATTTTTTTAAATCTTCCTTTCCTTTCTTATTTCTCAGTCATTTTAAAAGTATTGTTTTTGAGGTTATTGTAGGCTTTCTAAATTTTCCTAAAAGTCCCTGGAGATTTTTACTATAATGATAGAACACATAGCATAAAAGATTTTAAGGTAATTTTTAGATATTTTGTCTTCACTGGAGAGTGCAAGCAGTGAGAAAATAGTCAAGAAACAGCAGATCAGTAGGAAAGTGTAAACTAGGGGAAAAAAAAACAACTTACTGCCATTGAGTCAATTCCAACTCATAGTGATCCCCTTTGGGTTTCTGAGGTGGTAAATCTTTATAGAAGTAGATTGCCCTGTCTTCCTTCTGTGGAGTGGCTGGTGGGTTTGAACCACCAGCCTTCTGGTTAGCAGTCAAATGCCTTAGGCACTACGCCACCAGAGCACCTTAGGAAAGTGTAAGGTAGCTTGAAAAGGCAGCTAAGGCAAAATTGTCAGGATGTAAGACAAGGCTGAAATTACGAAGAGGGGATAAGCAAGTAGAGAAATGACCTATTGAACCAGAAATAGGGCATCATAGGCTGCAGAGCCTGGTTAGGACACCAAGAGAGGCTAGACAGAAGGAGAAATGAGAGGCTGATTTTTATCTAAAAGACTTTAAAATAGAGGTCATGGCTATAACCTATGATTCAATAGTCTATTGAAAATATACTTCTTAAATGAATTAACCCTTTAAAAACTTACTTACATGTAATTTCTTCATAATCAACAAGATAAGCCATTTAAACAAAACAATTAAAACCAGATTGATTTTGCCTTTAAATTTTTTTTTTATATTTGACTTGAAGTCATTCAGTATTTTCATTGAAAATTTTCTAAGTCCTTGGTAATGATTTTTATTGTTGTTGTTGTTGTTGTTGTTTGCCGTCGAGTCAGCCCCGACTCATAGCGACCCCTCCTTGGGTTTCCGAGGCAGTATCACTACGGAAGTAGGATTGCCCAACCTTCCTTCCGAGG